GGCTGGAGAGTACTAATCAATTAATAGGGGAAGTGCTGTGCCACAGAGAAAAACTGTTCAGGAAAACAGAAAATATTGATTTTAAGGTTATGCTTGCTAGACAGAGGACTTGAGTGGGAAATGAAATCCTTTTGCTGGACATCTAATAATTCTAGCAACATGCAGAGTGCATCCTGTATTATTACCTCCTCTTCAGTTATTCACTGCAACACCTTCAGCTTCAAGAGATTTTAAGGGACAACTTCTTTTGCAGTTGTTCCTTCTGTAGTAACCTCAACTATGGTAACTTTGCCATTCCTGGGTAGGTTTCATTTGAAGACTTAAGGCTAGGAAGTAGCTAGGCAGACAGCTTCTGTTGGAACATGCATGCAAAGTTGTGCTCCTGCAAAAAAAAAAAAAAAAAGTTTTCCACAAACAGATAGCAGTTGGGTTGATAGACGGCCAGCAAAAAAATCCAGTACATTTTCCTTCTACTATCTACCTGGACTATGTAATAGACAAACTTCTCATTCTACATTTAAAGCAGGGTGTTACTTCAAAGCAGTGTTCCTTTTAAACCCTGTTTTTTAAAAACAACAACAACAACAACCATCCTTCAGGCCCTGACAAATGACAATTTAGTCATTGCTTACTTAGATATTTCTAAATATCAATGTCCACAAGCTAACGTATTTCCTTTAAACGAAAGCAAATTATGTCCTTTTATTTTATTTTTAAATGAATTTATTTCCTTCATATAAATGTGTTATGTTGAATAGATTATATATAATTACATAAATATGCTGCTTAACAATTAGTCAGGAATTTTCATCTAAAAAAGAAAGAGTGCAAGTTACTTTTTAAATGTCATATTATCTGTATTTTATTTATTTATATTATTTGCTCTATTTTACTGAAAAAATGATACTAAATAATATAGAAATTATCTGTTTGCATTTTTATTCTTGTATTTTTGCTATTTTCTAATATTAAAATATTCATTTACTTTCTAGAATTAATGAATTTTCTTGTAGATACTTACAAGATAATCACCAGAACTAGTAATATTTCACAACTTTTTAACTTAAGTTAATCTAATTAGTAGCAAGCTACGCAAGAAAAGGGAGAAGGCAAAAGGTTTTGATTATTCCCTGAATATTTTTGAACAGGTGTTCATACATATATCACAGGAAGGACAGCTCTTTCATGTTACCCTGTCATATGATACCAATTATTTTAAACGTGTGTGACAAATCATTGAGACATTATAAATGGGAGGTTGCATCTCAGCAGGTTTTACCAGTAATCCTGGTGAACCAGAAAGAAAGTGTGTGGGCAGAGCAATATCGCAAGGAACAATATGCTGTGAAAATATTCTCATTCCTTAAGGAGACTTGCATTTTAATCAATGGAATTTGGTCATTAACTTTATGTATTTTGACTGTACTCTAACACAGAACCCTATGCATGTTTATGGAGGATTACATGTTTTAACATTTATGGCAACATCACTACATAAAGATCCAAGAACTTATATTTTTCTATAATATATAATTGTTGGGCAAAATGCTCTTCTATCTGTAATCATTTCTCCAGCTATTATTATGGATGTTTGCTAGCAACAGCTTTAGTAAAAGTATGCTAAGGAAGAAAAGAACTTTTGAAGCTTATTAAAACTGTATACACAGATCTGAACATTAGTAGAGGAAGAAATAACCTACACAAAAGAAAAAAGTGAAAAAAAGAAAAAAGTTAAGAAAAATGAGAAAGTAAACAGATACAAAGAACTGGCTTCCAATGTTCTTCACGGAGCCATAAGTACAATTATACTTTAGCTCTCTCTAAACCTATAGCATGATATTCTTCTTTGTATAATCTCTCCTGTTTAATCCTCAAAACCATAAATCACAAGTTTATTTTTTTCATTTTTATGTAAAAAGTCCATAAGAGGTTTCCAGTCACCAGTAAATGTAGATGTCTTTTCTTTTATTAAAAAATAAATCATTTATACATTTTAGCAAAACTATCAACTTTACCAACCATTCCTCCAGTGGGTAGTGTCAAATGTTTCCATTTTTGTGCATGTAAATAATCTCACCAGAGTAATCATATAATATATTGAAATAATACAGTATATGACTGTGTTCCATGAGTTTTCATGACTTTTTTCTAACTATTTGTCCATCATGCCTAGAAGAAAAAGTTGTGGCTTCAATTGAACAGCAATCTTGAAAATCCTCTGAATTAATATATGTATTTAAATCCTTTTTACATGTATACAAATTATGATAAAATGTCCCTTTATGTTGTTTACATTTCCAACATACATTTGAAATGCCTTTATACGTTGTTTTACATAATTGTTCTGGTACCAGTTTGGCATCAGAACCAGCTTGGTCTAGTAGTTAAGGTACCAGGTAGAAACCAGGAGACTGTGAGTTCTAGTCCCATTTTAGGCATGAATGTCAGCTGGATAACCTTGGACTAGTCTCTCTTCCTCCCTCCCTCCCTTCCTCCCTCCCTCCCTTCCTCCCTCCCTCCCTCTCTCTCCCCTCCCTCTCCCCAATCCACTTCACAGTATTGTAGTGGTAAAAATAGTAGGAAGCATCATTGAATATGTTCACTGTCCTGAGTATTTTATAAAACTAACAAAGGTGAGATAAAAATAAATAAATATCAGGTATTGATATATCATCTTAGAAAAAAAATTCATTGAGATCATAACACAATGTAAATTTCACCATTTTAACTACTTATTTTCCCCTGGATTCATCTGTGTATGTATGTATGTATGCATGCATGCATGCATGCATGTATAATAATCGAAATTCTTAGTCCATCTTATCACATATTTTCCTTTATTTCAAATTTCAACAAAAGTTTATTCATTCTAGCAATTACATGTTCACCATCAGTGTATAACTATGCTTCAAATCTGTATTACTTTGTGCCATGTTGTAAGTCTTTTTGTCCATCTTGAATCTTTAAAACCAGGAAACCATTCACAACTACATCCTTCTGCAGTTAATTGTTCTCTTGATTAGATTTTAAATTTTCCCTGATGGTTTTTCAGTAATTCCTGCTATGTAAACTATTTGTCTTTATCTGCAGTTTCTTTTAAAGTTAAAGTTAAATTATCTTTAACTTTTCAGCCTGAATGGTAGTAAATACTTTATAATCATTATTCAATATTTATTGTTAAAGTCATATCTTGTCTCTCTTTAGATACTGGTGTTGTATTAGCCTCTTTTTTGCTATCAAGCTTTCCATTCTGTAGAATAATATTCATCATTTGTGTAATGATTGTAAAAGTTCATCTTCGAAATATTTATGGTAAGAAACTGGCAACCCATCTGGATCAGATGCTTTTTATGCTTTTGTGTTTTTAGTAGCTTCACAAGATTCTCATGTTGTTAAAAGTCAATTCAAAATTTGTTTTTTATTCTCTATAATCTTGGTAAATAATTTTTCTTTGTTTTGCATAGTTCATCTTTACTTATTTATTTTCATCTGTCATTTTTAACATAGATTGCCTCTGTAAAGCTTAGTTTGGTGAATAATAGTCATCCCTTGGATTTTTTTAAAAATTGTTTTTCCCTTTTTTATTTCATTGAATATGATTTATACTTTCTCTTGCCTTTTCTTTTACATTTATTAGGTATGTTGTATAAAATACATTCTTCCATAGCTTTGCATGTAAACATCCTTACTTCTGTGACTTTATTAAGATTATTCTTTAAAAACATTCCTTTAACTTTTTTTACAGTCTTCCACTATGATTTCCTTTTGTATCAAGATCTCATTCAATCTCATCTAAAACATACATTCTTTCTTTTCATTCATTGTATTCAAAGTAATGGTAATGTTTCCACATTATAAACATTAGCCAAAGCCTTAGACATCTTGAAAAAGATATTTTTATGTCTTTCAGAAAAATTATATTATTTTGAATCAACATATTTATATCTCTCTGCATCAACAAGCTACAAATTATCCATTAAATTAAAAAAAAATGCTTAATAGTTTGCCCTGTGTATTTTTAAGTTCTGCATTTTTATAGAAAAACCATTTTTCCAATCTCCCAAGAAACATCAATTTTCATAAGAAAAATCCAATAATTTATCCATGTCCTTTGTAAAATGCTGTTTTATCTTTATTTGAGACACAAATTCATAATACTAAAGTCTTAGCCCCCTGTAGATTTCTTCTACCCCAACTTATCTACCATAATCATCAGTCAGCATAGATTTTGAACAAAGCTATGTATATATTTATACACAAATAAGTCCATTTTTCCTTCCTGCTAAAATACTTTTAAGCCAGATTTCTGTGATTCAAATATTTTATAACTTTTTTCCTAATACAGGTTTCTTTTAATGAGATTATGTCTTGCTTCACCCTTTTCACATAATGAAATTTATTTTTTCTCTTTTTGTTCCGTTTATATTCTATGTTAAGAATTTATTAGGCCAAGATTTTTAAAAAGTCAATGTGTATAACACCAAACATAGATTTTTCCTATTGTTGTCTTGTTATATCTATTGTGATATATATTTGTGGGTTATGTGTAGTCATAAGAAATATTTTCTGCATAAAATAATACAAGACTACATTTATGTTAAATATATTTGACGGATTTATAATATATTTTCTATAAATATTCCCATACACACAAAAGATAGGCACTTTACAGACTTATATAAAGCGTAATTATTAGTGGAAGGAACAAGGGCAGATGATCAAAGCAGCATCAGCTAATTCAATTCAAGTTTCACCCCTATTGTACTTGCAAACAAAAGGGGCAGAGCTTGTGTTGTGATGGTATAACAGAGTTTTTGGCATTTTGACAACAGTGATGGATCCTGCAGACATCTCCATAATTTACACAGAATATTGTCTTATTAGGAATAATATTGGTTCTTAAAAACATACAGAATACATGTAAAATTTATCTTTCAAAACTTGATTTCCCCCCTCTGTGTTAATGTGTTTTGCAGATTTAATGAACATAAGTATCTCTGAGGATACCTGGCATAAGCAGAAAAGAAAGACAGAGTGTTTGAAAGGAGAAAAGGTAAGATAGTATATTTTATGATGTTGGTGTATTTCAAACTGAATTATTTTTAGTAACAAGAGACAAATCATAAAGCTATGAAATGATTATTTCACCTTATAAAATATGGCTTTGTTTTATTTTCATTTTAATAATGACTGACAATCATTTGTGAAAAACAGATATGACTTTAAAGAGGAGCTAGAGTAATAAACATTGTCAATGAGTGTGACAGAGATAGAAGAAGGTTGGCTGTTTCAAACTAGAAATTTAAGTATTTAACGGACAAAGAAGGTTTGATTGAATTCTCATGTTGTCAACTATTAAGAGAGGAGAGGAATTTAGCTGCTTTCTCCAAACCATTATCCCAATGTAAATTTTTCTACTCTAGAACATAATTTTTATGTTTCCCCCTTCAGGAATCACAGGGCAGGAAAATGAGTGAACATCATCATATTTTAATCCTGTATGCGTGTAAGTGGAGGAGAGTAAATTAGATCAGGAAACTAAGATAGAAGTTTTTTCCTTGCTGGATTAGGGCCCTTTGTAATTAGATTGAACTTCCATGTCTTGATTATGCTGAGCAAAATTTATGAAATAACCATGGAGATTTGAAGGTGGTTTGATGATCTCTGCTCCACTCTCAATTAGTTTTCTCAAAACCAGACAAACTTAAGTGCAAACCTTGTGAACCTTGAAAAATGGATAAATAGGATTCTATGAATTCAGTATATTTACTATTTCACCAACATATTTTTCAAAGCCTTATTTAAAACTGATGAAGAGTTTTACCTTCAAAAGTCACTGTAATTTCTGCATTTTCTGTTATTTTAATCATTCATTTTATCTAATCAACCAAACAACAAATTAGGTTGTTGCAGGAAATTGAAGAAATTATTGATATGGGATTTTAGCAGTTCCTCCTCAGCAATATCAGCAGCACTGTTATTGCTGGAAAGATTCAGACTCTGGTTATTATTATGCAGAAATTGTTTTGTAAGAAAGTAGCTTCTCGGATATGCCTATGTCTATGTTTGAATATGTTCTTATCTATCTATCTATCTATCTATCTATCTATCTATCTATCTATCTATCTATCTATCTATCTATCTTCTTATCTATCTATCNTATCTATCTATCTATCTATCTATCTATCTATCTATCTATCTATCTATCTATCTATCTATCTATCTATCATCTATCTTGCTGATTTACCTATCCCTTCATTAGGTCTTACTGTTACATTTAAAAGTAGATTATGGATGCATTGTGTAGCAGATATTATCCAACGGATGTTGAAGAGCAGATTTTCCATGTGTTTTCATTCTCTTATCCAAAGACACAACTTGAATTTACATTATCCAATTCTACTTTGCACATTTTTATAAAATGTGGATTACTGTGCCTCCTTGTTGCTTTGTTAAAATAAAATAAGCTTCACAAGGGAATGTTGCTTTTTCTATAAAATCTTGCTAAGTTGTATAGAAAGTAGTAGTTGATTCCTATAACCTAAAGATGGACAGGAGTTACCAGTCACAAACATATTGGGCAAGAACTTTGTAAAGGAGTGAAATGTTTATTTGTAAATAATAGAATAAGACTACAGTATTATAATTCAAAGACTATAGTGGGTATCAATGCAAATAGTCTTTAATTTAGCAACCATTCAAAGTCATGACAGACCTCTACAGGGGCACCTACAGTCCATTTTGTAAGTTCCAATATCCACCCTATTGCATGACCACATGTTGAGCACTTGGCAATCAGTGTGCATTTACAGTGATTTGTAGCATCCCATGGTCATGTCATCAAGTATTATGTCATTTTTGCCTAAAGCAAACATTTGCTACTACTTTTTTGGCAAAACCAACCCATAGCAAACAATGGGCCCTTAACAACTACAATGTTTGCTTAAGAACCACCACAAAGAAGTAATAAAATTACATTGGTGATCTGCTTTACGACCATCATGACTTAGGCACCACTATTGTTATGTCAAGGATTACCTGTATTGAAGACATATAGTCATATCTATTCTATATCCATTTAGTAGCATTACTTACATGTATCTCAGTTTGGAGAATGAAATTTTATCATAATGTACCATGTTAGACTTTTTCCTGCCAATATTATAAGCATCAAGATGGCCTAATTATACAAAAAGAATTTTTGGAAAAACATTGTTAAATTAAGAGAAAAAATTCTTCAACTATCTATTCTCAATGTAACTCTGAATCTTGTAAAAATGCATTTTCTAGTATCAATATTACAGTATACTGTCCCTCAGGGCAAATTTCCTATAGAATACTTTAAAATTAGTGATGCTTCTATACATAATAATAGGCATTATTGTACTTAATTTGGAATATCCTCTTCTAGGAACATTAGTATTTGTTCTGCTATCTGTATATTAATATATACTACTTATAGAGTTCATCCAAAAACCAGGACCCATGACTATAGGTCTATAGGATTGGGATTTGCCAAATTTGTGTCTAGTTTGGCACCATCGTAACTGCTTAGCAACATTTCCTAGAAACCTGTAGGTTATATAACGCAAGGAAGGGGTATAGTCCCATTGTCTTTTCACCTCCATATGGCCCCTGTTCCTAATAGGCTGGTGGGAAGACCCAACAAACAATAGCAATAGCAATAGGAGTTAGCAATAGCAGTTAGACTTATATACTGCTTCATAGGGCTTTCAGCCCTCTCTAAGCAGTTTTACAGAGTCAGCGCATCGCCCCCACAGTCTGGGTCCTCATTTCACCCACCTCGGAAGGATGGAAGGCTGAGTCAACCTTGAGCCGGTGAGATTAGAACCGCTGAACTGCAGATAACAGTCAGCTGAAGTGGCCTGCAGTACTGCACCCTAACCACTGCGCCACCTCGGCTCTGCTATTAGCTGCTTTGGAACCAACCCAAAATTTGAAATCTCTTTATGATGGTGCCCAGTGAAAAAAGAACAGGAAAGCAACTCTACTGGCAAAGTAAAACTGGCTGGGGATGCTGCCATTTAACAGGTGAACCTTCTTCCTCCTTAGAGGAGACCCTTGGCCCAAGCCAAAATAGAGAGAGGTTTCACGGCTCCTTTTGTTTTCCCTCCCCCCGCCAGCAAAAATGGCAAACAGTTTAGAGGAGGAGGAGGAAGAGGAGGAGGAGGAGGCTACTTCATCAGGGCTATTCTTAATATAGACTTAAGCCTATATTATATGTGGAAAGAAGAATAACCTAATGAATCATGGGCTATCTAGGAAAAATATATTAGATATAGAAGTACTTTCTTTTGTAAAACATTATCAATAATGCCTTCCATTTCCTTCACACTTTGTCTAGTGTCTATATGTTTCTTTAGAAAAACAGAAATTTGTATGAGCACCAATATAATAAAGCATGTCAATCTTTAACTATCCATTCTTCAAACTTATTTCTTGTCAGTTATTGGAAAATTGCTCCTGTCTTATAGTGAATTTTCCTAGGGTTAGCATTTAGATTTAATAGCTAATGTAGAGACTTGAATGTTCTAGTGCCCCTGTGAGAGGCACATTGATCAGTAACTATTCATAACTGTCTACTTTCTGGGACGGATAAATAGTTACATAGATATGCTGCATTCTAACAAAATGAATACTGTACAATAATTTCCTTACAAAAAATTGAAACTCAAAAATGTAGCTTACATCTGTCAGACATAACAGCATAGAGGTTTTTTAAATTGTTACTGTGAGCTTGTGTGTATTTTTATCACATATTCCTTTTTTAGTATGTGTGTGTGTATGTATGTATGTATATATTGCTCAAAATCAAATATGACATGAATGAACAATGTTAAAATCTCTAGTTGAAGTGAATATGTCCCTCTCTCTCTCCATTTCCCTCCCTCCCTCTCCCTCCCACCACTTAATAAATCCTGAGCAGTAACCAAAAATAAAATATAATCAAACTATTTAAATCCAATGCAAAAAAATTTGAGACAAGCCCCTTAAAGTCATATTGTTAGTGTACATATGCCAGAGCTCCATCAATATCCTGATCCCAGTGCCTGGTCTTAATAATCTTCTAAAAAGTTAAGGTGATTCCTCATGAGAGAAAGGCATGCTTCATGGGGCTAACTAGGTGACACTGCTTCACGGGACTGGGGCATGCCATGCCAAAATCAGATCTGACCCCATGTCTTTAAAGAGCTTTAAAGGTGACACTCCACACCTTGAAGTCCCCCATAAACCAGTGCAGCTTGCATAACTGCAGGGCATATTGTTGTATAGCTAATTTGGCATGTATCACTGCATTTTGAATCAGATCAAGTTTTCACATGCAGCCCCATATAGAACTCATTACAATAGTTCAGTGGTGAGTTGCAGGTGGTATGCCCTGGTATGGGCATACTGGTGCCTGCCCGGAGCACCAGGTACCATTCCGGTACGCTGCTCCGGAGGGCCCACCTGCCTGCCCGAGCTCCTTACCTGTATTTGAGATCTTTGGTGTTTTTGCGCACGGAGCGCACGGCGCCTGCGCAACACTCCACTGAGCAGTTGGTGCATCGCAGAGGCGTCGCAAGAGGTAAGGATGCATGCATGCACTGCATGCATGAGTGTGCACTGCACGCATTCATATAGTAGACACTGGGCCCTGTTGCAACCGTACCGGTTGCAATGGGATCTGGAACCCACCACTGCTACAGACCCTTCATATCCTGGACATAAATTGTTTCAACTTCTTCCCTCAAAATGACACTATAGAGCACTGCACACCAGAACAACTAGACACGAGGACAGTTTTTACCTGAATGCCGTCACTCTGCTTAACAACTAATTCCCACAACACTTTCAATAATTGACCAAGAATGTATTACTATTATTCTTCTCTTTTTTTCTAGTATCTACTGTATTTCTCTCCACTTATGACTACAACCATGTTGCTTGTATCTTTCAATTTATATTGTTTTTATTGTTTCCTAGTACAATTTGACAGCTTATTAGTAACCTTGTCTATCACTAAGTGCTGTATCTTTTTATTCTTGATGA